AGAGCCTCTTTATCCTAACTGTTTACAAAATTTTTACTTTTTTATTTTCTATCGAAAGTTTAAGTTCGCTTATTGTAACCACTAAAAAATAAAAAATTGAAATATATATTTGTGAAACACACAAAATTTTATTTTTRAAATTAGGGACAGAAAGGTCTTTATTTAAAAATTTAGTTAAAAAATATATTCTAATTCTAATAAAAAGAGCTATAACATTTTTTGGGTCACAATTATCACAACACAAAAAGGGCCTAACATCTTTCATTTTATTAAAAAGAATATCTCCCAATCCTATTTTATGACAATTACTGTCGAATCCTTCCAAAAATCTTCTTTCCAAAATTTTTTAAAAGGCAATAAAATCCTCAGGCGGCTTGACTAAATTGCATTTGTCTATTTGATTTTGATGCATGAAGATGAATTCGTCCGAAGGAATTTCATCTCCTAAATATGGTAAAAGCAGGAAACATGTGTGCAGTTTGAAAATTTTTAAATAAAAATAGCCGCAAAAGTAGCTAAACGCATTTTCTTTCAAAAAATTACAATAATTTCTAAACTACTATCTAATACGATTGATCTAACAAGGGAGTGTTCAGGCCGTGGTAAGCCTTGAAAATCCTGCCAAGAAGGCCATTCAATAGTGAATCATTACAGACATTAAGTAGAACATTATTACTATGTTATGAAATTACTGTAGCATCAGGTTCCAAAAGCAGCTTACAGCTTCATTTGTTACGACGTTAACGTAACGTAAGCCCCACAATTTCCTAAACAAACTAGAGAACATATAGGGCGTTACTCTAGAACCTCCTCTGCTTCGAATCTGCCCGAAAAAATGTTCTAAACTGCCCTGACATAGTCGTCTCGTCTTCAAGTACGGAAAACCTGAGTATGACAAAAATCGCCACAAGCGTATTAAACTGTTAATATTTAACATACACCCCTTTATAAAACTAAAATTATTGGTTGTGTTGCTTTCTAAATCGTCTACGACCCGAATAGTTTTTAAAACTTGTTCCGCGTCATTTAAAAACTCTAACTGTTCGGGTTAACACCTACAAACACTTTTTTAGTGGGTACATCAGCCTCAACGAAACTGCTATTTAAAATATCAAATAATATGTTAAAAAACGAAACGAATTTCGCGGTATTAATAAAGCCCTATTCGAGCTTAAGGCTCCCGAGCTATATAGGGACAACATACCAGAAGCGACCGTATTACTCAATACTTGAGACGCGTATTTAACCTTCATTTTTTGGAAGGTATTTCGATAAATATGAGCATCGGTTAATTAATGGGCACACCGATAACTCGACTTAGAGTCGGTTTCATAAAAATTAACAATATACGACCAACTTACCCGACTATTTTCAAAGAAAACCGTATTTTTTAAATTTTGTAAACTGTTACGACTACTTTTTATCAAATAGGGGCTATCGTAAAAAAATACACTTCCTTGCCATTAACATTAAAGCAAAGGCCGTGACTAAAGAATTAGCGAAATTCTGAAAATTGGTACCCTGGTCGCAAACAAAATGGCAAGGAATTAGTCCTATATTTTGCAGTTGGGCAATGGCTTCAAGAATGTATTTCTTGAGGACATTCCCTTTGCAGGAACTTTTTACGAAAAAGTAAGCTAACGGGTGGGACCAAGGCTCTCCAATTATACCTTGCATCATTATAGTCATTGCAGTAGTTGCTAATCTAGATGTGCGATTTTCATCGCCATAATCCTCAATACCTATCACCCTATCGAATTTCCTATCATACTGCAAATGACATTTCAGTGACATTTCATCACACGAAACCGACACGAACTTTTGTTCGAAAGTGAATTCCCTACTCCTAATCTCTAAAGATTTTATGCTACTTTGGGTGCAACCTGGGAAACGGGGCCAGTCTGTAACAAAGTTTTCCAAGTGCCGATAAGCAACTGGCGATAGAAAAAATACACCCAAAGCTATCGTTTTAAAAAAATTATCATTTCGCCGACCATGGGAACGGCGATTACTATTTATAAAAGTACTCCTAATGCAAGCACCTAACTGAGGAGGAACTTTACTACAAACTAAAGAAAGAGAGTCTGGGCCTTTAAACTTCTACTTTCCTGATCTTTTTCACCTAACTTTATTTTCAAACCCCTATTCTCTTCTCTCAATTTCTTCTTCCTTTCTGTAACTGCGGTCAGACCCCTACCTGTTTGCGCGGCCTTATCAAAATTAAAAGATACATCCTCCTCAAAAAATGGAAGAGGCTCTAAAATTCCATCTTCAATTTCATTTTCAATACTTGGAAAAAGCTGCCTCRATGYATTTTGTGCATTTGAGACAGCTTCTTCAACTTGAGGAGCGTTAATCTTCTAGACCCAATAAAATTGTATTTTTAATTTAGAATTTGGGACGTCAAATGTAGGCTGAACTTTATATTTATATCGGGAACGGCAACCGAACGCAATCGCTTTTTTTGCCGAAAAACGTCGCTCACAAGCAAACGGTTGAGCCAACATTTACGCCTATTTAAAAGAAAAAGAAAGAATATAAAAATATAAAATAACTACATATATTACAAATAGTGCAAAAATACCAAACATATGAACTTATCTATTAAAATGCATGAACTTATCTATTCAATTGGCGTTTTCGGCATTTTCGCTGTAAATTAATAAGTGCTTCATATATTATTATGTACGCAAACTATTTTATGGGTACTTACGTTTATATTTGCTGATTTATCCCTGATATATTTAAAAAATTCTCCTTTGCACTTCTTCACTATTACTACTTCACTTTTTACAAATTCTTTTTTCTTCGAAGAAACGATGGCCGTTGCGAATTCCTCCATTCTAATATTATTTTGGCGGGATTTCAATCCGTTCCTCTCTCTTCCTCCAATTGCGAAACGTCAAAACCTAGTCAACTGTCAAAGTTCGGTAGGTTTTGAGTTGGGGATCTCATAATCTCTGCTTCACAGAGTTAACATGTGCGACAGGCACGCGGAACATTTGTTCGAATTTATTTCTAATGTAGCACTTTTATCTATTTCTTTGTATTTCGTCAATAATTTATTAGAAACTTTTATTTTTCTCAATTTTATTTTTATATTTATCACTTTTCGTTTGCCAAACTGCCAATTAATTTTTTATAAGATCAATAAATTCTGATACGAAATCTTTATTAAGGGAGCCTGCTTTAGAAGCTTCAAACAATCGATTTTTTTTTTTGCTTAAATATCTTTACAAATTATCTAACAATATTTCCCCAAAGCTATAGATTTTAATTCGAATTGTCGAAGCTAGAAGGGTAATAGTGACCCAGGGTCTGGGCAAAAAGCGAAAACTTTGAAGCGCTATTTCTCGGTTTTTCATTTTTACGATTATTCTAAATTGGCGGGCAGGATAGAAAAAAAAACCAAATGTCGTATGGAATTAAGGTGAAGTTTATTATCATTGGTATAAAATTATTTTCTATTTAAACTAAAAAAAAAATTAAGAAAAGTCAAGTTTTTCGGTCAAAACCCGCTTATTTTCAATTTTTAAAAAAC